ACGTATGTAGGCTAGTGGGGGGTTTTCGACCCCAACAGGGAGAAATTCTTCTGTATTACAGTTTAATTTCCTTTTGATTTTCAAATGCGTTTCCCGCGGACGGTTTTGCTCAGAATTTAGACCTTGAAACGTATGTAGGCTAGTGGGGGGTTTTCGACCCCAACAGGGAGAAATTCTCGGATTTCTGATGTCCCTGAGCGATCCCGAGAAAAAGGGTTTCAAGGGCTGCGAAAAGGCCCACTTATTTATTTATTTTTCCAGATACGGTAAATAATAATAAACAAGCTCATCACGGAAATTTCCATAAACAGAATTCGAAGGGCTGCTGCTGCTGATGGTAGTGGAATGAGGGAAGGGAAATGATGCGTTTGTGTTCATCTCCCTCTTTTTTTCGCGGTGGTAAAAAATAGGGGGTTGTTCGGATGAACCCGTTTTTCGTGACCCTGCATCATCAGAGGAACAGGCTGGATTGAAGCCATGCAAGTGGGACTTCCCCAACCCACAGAAAATATGAGCATGTTTTTATTTCTTTTGCACTGTATCTGTTCTTCTTCAGGAAGGACACCTTGGAAAGCGGAGGATTTTTCCAGTAACTCCTGGTATTTCTAAGAGTAAGAAAATCGGGTTTTAATAAAAAAATAAAAACTGTTCCGGTACCCAGCGACATACTGGCTTTATTTGAATTCCCAAGAAAGATTTCGACTTCTAATGATTTTTCCAGCTGAAAAAATAATTAAACGTAGGAAAGCTTTTCGTTCTTGCATGGAGAGTTGTCGGCTTTCATGACCCGAAAAATGTCAAGATTTCAGTACAATATACTCTACAGTACTGTACTGTATTCCAGTATGAAAAAAAAGAAAACGCACGCATTGGAGGTCCAAACTGACTGTGCCGAAAACAATTTAATCCAATCCACCTCCAGCATAAAATATTGCTTAAAACCAATTCCTCTTGTTATTTTAATTACATTAGATACTTTCAAATAAGTAACTAACTATTTTAGTTATTTAACTAACTATTTTTTTTAATGTTGAAATATTTTCAAGTCATCCTGTCCCATGAGTAAATTGTGCAATATGGATTTTCATAAAAGTGATTCAACTGATTCTCAATGAACCTGTCTACCATTATATTTCATTGAGCCTGAAACCAGCCGCATTTTCACCACATGAATCTGTTTAAAAATCTGGGACTCTTGAAATAAAGTTTATGTTGCTCTATATTTTCATACAAATTTATTGCTGCTTTCAAGTAGAGTACAGTAATGGGAAACAGTTAGAAATTCAACTCAAAACGTTGCAATAAATCTTTATTGTAACATGTCTTTTGCAGTTGCCTGTGGCCTGAAACATTTAATATTTAAGGTCAGGTAGCCCAAATTTGCTGCATGTAAATTTATAGCTGTTGCAAAAAAAAAGAAAAATAATTAGAAATTCAAAACTATTCACATTATGTCTCTTGTTCCAAATAGTTTGCAGCCGCAATTTTCTCCCAACAAAACTAATAAATCAATACAATCAAAAGTGCAGCAAATACTGTATATACTGTACAGAGTTCCACAAATATGTAATCACAGTACAGGTTGTACCTTGCAATTTGACCTCCTGCAATTTCATGGTCAAATTTGCAGGGAAGTTGACTCTTAATTTGACCTCTGCCCCAGAATTCAACCACTTTTTTGTGTTTTTGTGCTTATATTTCTTGATTTCATGAAGTGTCTTGCAATTTGACAGCTTCACAATTTGACCCTAGTCCAGCATTGGATTAGGGTTCAATTGCAAGGTACCATTGTATTTGATTTCTCAGACTATGTTCACATATCAGATCAAATTTTTGTTTAGGCTTCAGTGGACATATTTTCATCACTTGTCAGGTTTTGAAAACTTAGAAAAAGTTAAAAAAAAACAGCAATCCATTTTCATCAAATTTAAGATGCAGAAAATAGCTGTGTAGAAGAAAAACATAAATAACCTACCCTTTTGGCATTGGACATACACACTTGGCACAGATGCAAATTTATGGAGATGCACTAAATTAAATCACAGATGAAAATACTCTGTACATTCATGTGGTGCCTAATGTGTGAAAGGTAGAACACAGTCTTGACTCTTGGACAATATCTCAAATGTTTACGTTATAAAATTACTGTAGTAACTCATTATTGGTGGAGGAAATAGCAGCTCTGATTATTAGCAGACTTTCACAACGAACACAGTCTTTTTCCAAGCACAGTTGCAGGTGATATAAGTGGCATATATATGGGACTATGGCATATACCCCAACATGAAGACAATTTGACGCATGAAAACTGTACTGTACACTCAAAATATCCACCAGATCTGGATAAATTTCTTAAAAAAGAACATTTTAAAATTTTAAGTGATGCTGTATCTCAAACCAATCCAGCCAGAGTGTTGTATTACCATTGGCATAAAATCAAGGTACATGTATTTTAAATACTGCATTAGTATGCAGAATAATTCTGCCCTAGTTTATTTTTCAAAACAGGTCAATTTGCGCTTCTCTTTTCAACAGCTTTTCCATCAAGTGTTCATCATGGTTAATCAGTATGTGTGCTTGTTTCTTTTTTGCTTTTTAGACTTATTCCCATTGAAGTATGCTTCAACTCTTGCATTTAATGGTACTCATGGTGTGAAATAAGGGACATATATTTTCTTGTAAATAATTTGTGTGTGTTCAGAATGCACTTGTTCTTCATTAAACCATTTGATGATGCTTCCCTACAGATTTTTGTCAACAATATTTCAGGAATTCACAAGGGGATTTTACTGTACTTGCATAACTGTGTTCGCCTGATTAGAAATGGCTTTGCAATTCATGGTGGCTTACAGTCTTATTATGCCAATTGTCAGCATTTTCAAGCCAGTCCAATTTAAATAATGGTACAAGAGCACTGGTAGATTTGAATATTATTATAAGTGCAGTTGCAGTAAAAACATTTTGTGTTAAGGAAGTTTATAATACTTGAGAAAATTTCCTGAAAATGTGACTAGAGCAGTGTTCCAAAACCTTTGGTGTGCAGACCAGCACCAGTCTGCAGAAGATTTTTGCCAGTTGGCAGGAAATTTTCTGCAACATAATGAATCTAGCAAAGGTTGCAATGAAGTATGTTATTTTCATCAGAAATTTTGCAAAGACAATTGCAGAGTTGAAATTATCTGATGAAAATAAAAAAATGGGCTTTTCTCTCAAGTAACACTTCAGACAAATTTTTGCATGCTAAATTGATTTATTCTAATTTTTTCATCCTGAGAAACCTTTCTTCAAGCCCACCTTTCTAAATTTTGAAAGACATCTCCCTATGTAGCTGCTTCATTGGTTTCTAATTTTTTTTTTTTTACAGAGAAGCATACAATTTTCAAATAAAGTACATGTCATTAACTCTTTCAAGCAAAACTTTTCTGAGTCCGCAAAAAATGTATGAAACTTTGCCTGTCTGCAATTTTTGTGCGTGGAAATTTGCTGGTCCCCAGCTCCGAAAAGGTTCCGGAACACTTGACTTGGAGAGTTCCAACTTGGAAGAGGCTACATTCTAACTTATATTCAGCACCATTAATTCAGTCTATCAGGTCAGCTTGTCCTCATTGCTTTTCCGCTGTCTATGTTGTATTTTTGAAATGATATAAAGAGTGCTGACGCCCGCTGTGAGTCAATTGCGCAATACCAGCTGTACATAGTTGCTCGTCTGTAATTTTATTCATATGGGTCGCATTGTATTAGAGCAAACGTTTATGGTAGAATTTTTCCTGGAACCATGATGAATAAGCTTCCATCCGTGTATCATTCTGGTAAACACCGGAAAAATGGTGCACCAAAGAAATTGTTGATACGTGAAGAAGCAGAATTTTCTTCCTCATAACAGATTCAATGTTGACAAAAACATACCGGAAATGCTCTTACAATTATTTATCCAACTGTGCGTTAGTAGAATCGCCAGCAAGGAGCACTAGTGTAGAAATCCCCACCACCAAGACCAGAATTCCTCTCTTGGCACGAATCTGACTCTATATAGAGAATAATTTTATATCTTTGTTATGGAATTACACTCGGATGAAGAAAGTTCGGGCATTTCAGGAAGAGGGCTGAAGTCTTCTCGTCTGCCATCCACTTACCATGGAAGATACAGTCGACCTTTTTTATTAAGACACCGACCTTGGCAACATACTGTCCATTTGTTGGAAAAATAATCTTCCCCATTGACAATAGCATTGGGAATTCCGTTAAAACGCAAATTAATGCTCCTGCCTATCAATGTTGTCTTCATTAGCCGACTGACAAGTTTAATTTTGTCTGTGCAAAGTCTCAAATTAATCAACACATAAACATGAAATAATTTACTTCCTGGGAGCATAGTTAAGCATAATTTTGCATCCACAGATTAATTTTATTGTTTTCTGGAAGAAAATGAATTTCATCTCGAATTAAACTTGCTTTTTACATTATTACAGAATTTTTGTTCAACCCTGTTAAACCATAACAAACCCCTAACACAAATCTTGGCAGCTTTTTCAGGTTTGACTGTAATTACTTCACACATTTGAACACTCTTGAGCCTGAAGAAATACAGGATTCTTCAACTACAGTATTTTCTTTTCCTTCCAGAAGAAGAACTACAGATACTTCCTCAAGTCAATGCCCCACATGCGGGTTTTGCTGCCGACGCAGGATTGAGTCAGTCCAGTCCATCTCTACTTTCTTTTACCTGGAGGGAGAGAGAGACAGACAGACCATCAACTGAACTCAAAAAGAGGGACAGGACGGTCGACGGTCCAAGTGTGCGGAACTCAAAAACCAGTGCTCCAATTGCTTTCAATAAACCTCAGTCTGTATGGAGGAATGGAAACCAGAAGCAATAAAGCGCGCGAGAAGAAAAACAAAAGGAACAAACGAACACAACCGTGACGAGAATAAGTTAGTTAGTGCGATCGACTCGTGGATCTACGACGTGGGTTAATGAAAAAATGAAGGGACAACCAAGGTTTCTTTTTTTTCAACTTTTCTCAATTTTTTTCTCCGCCCCGCTCAGAAATCTCCAGGGGAAAAGGGAGACGTCCAGGGAGGGAGGTTTTTATTTTCACGTTTTTTCTTTCAATAAACTACCTCACATGATAGTGAGAACAACAGCCATCATAATTAATAATCAATTACCAGATGTACAGATCACAGTTGGAGCACAACAAAAAATTGGTTCCAGTCGATTCTTTCCATCTCCAAAAATTCCCAAAAAATGGACTTTGACCAAAAAAAGAGACACGAAACAAAAAAAAAGCCAATCGGGAACGCAGAAAAAAACCCACTTTCTTCCATCAACAGCAATTCATTTTTTTCTAGTCAAAATAAAATCGAAAAAACACTTGAACCCAATCCACTTCTGGGCCCAATTAACCTCTCGACTGAAAACCCTCGTAGACCGCAGAAAATTCTACACAACTCACTCCCCCTCTCGCCCGCCGAAAATTCCAACGAATTGAGCAAAAAAGCATTAACTACTTTCCCGGGGGCGACAAACAGTAAATTAAAAAAAACGCGAAGTGTAAGAGAAAAAAAAGTTAAAAAAAAATAATAGCGAGCGAAGCAGAAGAAAGCCACGACGCCGACACAAGCCCAAGCGCGGGGGGAGCAGAGCAGAGCAGGGGTACATCGTGGGGGGGCAATCCGCCGTCGAGCCCGGGCCTCGTCACCGACACAAAGCACCCGGGCCCCCAACCAACGGAATGACGCAAAACCTAGAAAAACCCGATCAGGAACCGCGAGATCCAGCTCACTCCGCAGAACACGCGTCCTCCCTCGAATAACGTTACCGGAAACGACGCGCTGAAACGCTCGGGAAGCGACGCAAGCCTCTTTTTTTCTTCCTTCCCCCACCTCCCCCCCAAAAAAAACACCGTCCATTGTTTTCTTTTTCATCCCAGCCATAAAAAAAAAGAGGTCAATTCCCGGCCGACAAAAAAAACAAGTTCAACAACGAACAACAACGTGGGACACGGAGGAGAGAGAAAAAGGGGAGAAAAAACGGGGCGAAAAACACGAGTGCAAAATAAACTCGGTCGCGGCCAGGGAAAAAAAAAACGTGCCGCGATCCGCGTTTTACATAAAAGGTCGCAACAATGCGGGACATTTTAAGGCTCAGCGCATTCCTTTCTCTCTCTCTCTTTCAAAAATTGCGAGGTAACCAGCTTCCGTAAAAAGAGTTCTTCTTTTTCTTCACACCGTTGCGATGACGATTAGCAGGTGCGCAATGTCCGCCACGCTCGACAGTAAGTCCGGCGCAATCTTGGCTAAATTCACGTTCGAGAAGTCGCTTCGTGGGAAGATGTGCACCACGTACGCGGTATTTTGCTGTAAAAACAAAGAAAAGACATCGTTGTATTTCTCATGATTACACGCCAAACGGAGATAGAAAATGAAGCCTAGACCGAGGATCTGGTTTGGGAAGACAGAGAGACTACAACAATCTTCCAGATAATAATGGGGAAAGAAAAAACCGCTTTTTCATCTGAGGTCCACATTTTCTACCGCTATCATCTGGCCCTTCAATCAATCACTCGACCAGAAATCCGAAAAAGAAGTAGCAGAACTCGACAAGATTCAGGCGAAAGAAATAAAAACCACGTAGTTGAGAGCATCAGATATTTGAGCAAAAAAAAGCCACTACACGTCGAACTCCATTACAGAATATTGAATACATAATCTTTATAATTTTCCACTTCGAACGAATCTCTCTCATAGTTCGAGCAGAAACTGGCTTGATTCAATTCTTAAACATTTTCTATAATCCATAAAACGTACGAAAAAACAGCAAATATTTCCTGCAACGAATAAATATTTCCTAGCGGGTAACGTTCATTCAAAATATTCTTCCCCAACGTTCAAGAGAATTTGCTCGATTTGCTTAGGATTAAATGTATTTTATCGCTCAAGAAACTTAACGGCACAGATTTTTCGGTAAAAGAAAAATACTTTCCTCCTTCATCACGGAAACTTTGTTAAGACTATTTACGGTATCACAATTGTGATACCGTAATCCGAAATCCGCTCGGAAAACAGTTCATCAGAGAATCTCGACTAAAAAAATTGTTTTCTTCGCACTAATTCCAGACGCAACTTTTGTCTTCTTCGTGGCAAAATTTCAACTGAAATCCCGCATTTTCCAACCAAAGAATTCAATAAGGAGATACTAAACAAGTACAGTACAGTATTTTGAAATTTCCAAAAAAAAGGGACGACAAAAGAGCAGCCAGTCCGGATTTTCAGAGGTAAATTACCGAAGGCGAGCCGACGTTGACGATCCCAGCCGCCTGTTTGAGAGACAAGTAGGTGATGAACCCGTCTCGCAGATTCTTGGACTGGTACAAGACGTCGGTGTGATCCCGTCCGCACGGCAACGCCAGGAGAACACAGTGCTCGTTGGGCACCTGCGAATAAACCAAAGGCAACCCGTGAGTCAAACGGAGCCAGCACGACTTCATCGCAAACGACCATCCATCCATCCATCATCGCGACTTTTAACGAGGACATCAGCGCATTAAAAAACTTTCGATTCCCGTCGTCAACTCGGCAAGAAACGTCCCCCCCCCCCCCAACGAGAAAAATTGCACATCGAGTCATTGTGGAAAGACGGCCGATTCCAGGAAACTCGGCTTCCTCCTCCGCAGTCCCAATTAATTCCCCCCCATCGTGACTCACGAAGCGCAGAAATTATAGCCCATTTTTCCCCCATTCGGGGAAAAACCATCACGGAAGTCAACAACTCGCATCACGTACACCATTGTACAGTATAATTACGTAAACGCATTTAAAATTATTCCAGCGATATCCTCCTCATTTCACAAATTCAATTCAATCACGCGGGTTTTATGTTTCCAACGAAACGAACCCCGCGAAGTTCTCGGAAAAATGACAATAACAACCACAGTGGGGCCCGTCATTGAGGTTCGGACCATGTCCATAGGTTGAAGGGTCTTTATGTTTGATCATGTTTTCCAGTCGTCTTCAAAGGGGGCATATTTACTTGGTTCTCTTCTTCATGAACAATTAGTGATGAAATCCCCAACAAGTTGACTGAACGCTTTTCTCGACTTCAAGATGCAGAAAATGACTGTGCACAAGAAGCAAAGAACAAATCTAGCTACACTGTGCTTACATGATGGGGACAAAATCTGAACAAAAAGAAACGATGAATGGCCTTTTTCCGACTATGAATTGCGAGTAATTTTATGCTTAAACGAATTTGAAAATTTTCGTGGATTATAAATACCTAGCTAAATTTTTTTTTCGAGATCTCGAACTTGAAACTTTTAAATATTTTTCTAGGAAATGTCGGAAATGTGTCCGTATCTCGAGAAGTAATCCGCACGGCAAAACAGATTTTCCAATTTCAAGTGTCAATAAGTGGAATCGTCTCTCTATCGGGGTCCCCTTGTACTTGACGAAACTGTACTCTACAAGTAAAACTAGCGTAACGGAATGCAAGCATTATTCAGCCGATCGCTTCCATGCAATTCAATGAGCAATAAAATCCCTCGCTCACTTCCGCGTAACATTACACTTCTCCGAAATCCGCTCGCAGAATAATAAACCTGAATTCAATTGGGAGTCATAAAATTATTCCGAAGCAGGTTCGAGCGAAATGTACCGGACATGATACAAAAAGAAGGTCGCTCTCTACACTATACTGTACAGTATAATGTAGAGAAACCGGTTCCAGTCGAAACAGCCAAAAATTCGAGTCAGGGGAACAAGCATTTTTGAAGGACGAATTGAAAGGAAACTGCATTGGTAATATTCTGGGCCTTAAATTGCTCCCTGAATGTGTTGAATGGATGCTGAAGGTGGGGGAAAGGGTTTCATTTGCGCAATTAGCCTTTCAATTCTTCTCAAGATTCATCAATTTACATACAGTATTCACTTCTTCTCTCTTTCCTGTATGAATAAAACAATAACCAAAAAGAACTCCAGAAAATTTGACACATGGAGGGTTCAAAAGAGGAAGTCTCAAGAGTTAGGTTTCAAGTCAATGGTTTCAATGGTCTCAGACAGGGACTGAAAAAAAAAATATTCATTAGGGAGGTCTTCCAAGTTATAGATTCAACTGCAGTACGACCAGATGAACAAACAAGCCGATTGTTTCCCATTTATTCACGTAAACTTGATGAAAGCGGTGCTTCAGTCACGAGCATTCGCACTCAAATCAATTTATTGCTCATCGATCTTGCCACAATACTGCATTTCCCAAGGAAGACCCGACGGACTGACTACTTTTCCGAAGCACAACCGGCATTTCGACGGTTAAAAAACAAGAGGATGGAGAAGAAGAAGAAGAAAAAAAAATTCCAGCCAGCCATAAACGCGAATTGGTCAATTGCCCCACAATTTCAACGTCACGACCGGGGACAATGAAGGCGAAATCTCGACTGATCTTGGGATGATGCAAAACGCCGTTCAACAAAAACAGATACACCAATTTTCGCCAGGCATAGGAATACATTCAAATACAGCACTGTACTGTACTGTACTGCATCACTGACCTGCATCTTCCGCGAGACGCCGTCGAGCTGGGCAGGCTCCATCCTCATCCTCTGCGAGATGCGCAGGTAGGAAGCGGCGCCTTCGTGGACCGGCAGCGCCTTCCGCGCCACCTCCAAGTCGCCCGACACGAAGTGGATCTGCACAGCCGCCTGGTCGTTCTTCAACGCCAGCATTCCTTGCCACATGATCGGGTAACGCTGAAGAATGGAAAAAAAAAAAAAACCCACACGTGTCAATCCTCTCTCTTTAAATCTACCACCGGTCTCGTGGGTTCGCGACTCCCGGGTTATTCAACCCGGCTGTTCTCCATACATTTTATACAGTACAGAATTCATCTCTCACAACGACAGGCTCATGAGTTTGAATTTCGATGAATTATAAAATACAGTAAAGTCTTCAGAATCAATCGTCAAAAATCTTTTGGTGCTCTCTTACATTAAAATCTCGACGAATGTAACTTCCTGGCATGTCCGGCAAATGTCAATCTCCTTATATCGAATTATTGGTTACAACGAAGTCGTTTACCGGGTCCCTGCCCACTAGCAATAATGCTATTTCAATCGCTTAATAAAGAAGCGATTCTAAATTCTTTATGAATCACTTTATTGTTATTTTTCTCTATTCTTCATTAATCGCTTTATGAATAATTCATCGTTATAAAGAAGCTTTATTCCCGGCCCGNCCCCCCCCCCCCCAACGAGAAAAATTGCACATCGAGTCATTGTGGAAAGACGGCCGATTCCAGGAAACTCGGCTTCCTCCTCCGCAGTCCCAATTAATTCCCCCCCTCCCCATCGTGACTCACGAAGCGCAGAAATTATAGCCCATTTTTCCCCCATTCGGGGAAAAACCATCACGGAAGTCAACAACTCGCATCACGTACACCATTGTACAGTATAATTACGTAAACGCATTTAAAATTATTCCAGCGATATCCTCATTTCACAAATTCAATTCAATCACGCGGGTTTTATGTTTCCAACGAAACGAACCCCGCGAAGTTCTCGGAAAAATGACAATAACAACCACAGTGGGGCCCTGAGATGCGGACGTCATTGAGGTTTGAACCATGTCCATATGTCGAGGCGTGCTTATGTTTGATCACTTTTTCCCGTGCACTTCAAAGGGGGCATATTTAATTGGTTCTCTTCTTGTTGATGAACAATTAGTGATGAAATCCTCCACAAATTGATTGAACATTTTTCTCGACTTCAAGATGCAGAAAATGACTGTGCACAAGAAGCAAAGAACAAATCTAGCTACACTGTGCTTACATGATGGGGACAAAATCTGAACAAAAAGAAACGATAAATAGCCTTTTTCTGACTATGAATTGCGAGTAATTTTATGCTTAAACGAATTTGAAAATTTTCGCGGATTATAAATACCCAGCTAAATGTTTTTTTTTCGAGATCTCGAACTTGAAACTTTTAAACATTTTTCTAGAAAATGTGTCCGTATCTCGAGAAGTAATCCGCACGGCAAAACAGATTTTCCAATTTCAAGTGTCAATAAGTGGAATCGTCTTTCTATCGAGGTCCCAATGTACTTCACGAAACTGTACTCTACCACTAACCGCAGCGTAACGGAATGCAAGCATTATTCAGCCGATCGCTTCCATGCAATTCAATGAGCAATAAAATCACTCGCTCACTTCCGCGTAACATTACACTTCTCCGAAATCCGCTCGCAGAATAATAAACCTGAAGTGAATTGGGAGTCATAAAATCATTCCGAAGCAGGTTCGAGCAAAATGTACGGGACATGACACAAAAAGAAGGTTGCTCTCCACACTATACTGTACAGTACATTAAAGTCAAACCCGTTCCAGTCGAAACAGCCAAAAATTCGAGTCCGGGGAACACGAATTTTTGAAGGGGAAAAGAAGGACGAATTGCAAAAGGAAACTGTCATTGGTAATATTCTGGGCCTTAAATTGCTCCCTGAATGTGTTGAATGGATGCTGAAGGTGGGGGAAAGGGTTTCATTTGCGCAATTAGTCTTTCAATTCTTCTCAAGATGCATCAATTTACATACAGTATTCACTTCTTTTCTCTTTCCTGTATGAATAAAACAATAACCAAAAAGAACTCCAAAAAATTTGACACATGGAGGGTTCAAAAGAGGAAGTCTTAAGAGTTAGGTTTCAAGTCAATGGTTTCAATGGTCTCAGACAGGGACTGAAAAAAAAAAAAATATTCATTAGGGAGGTCTTCCAAGTTATAGATTCAACTGCAGTACGACCAGATGAACAAACAAGCCGATTGTTTCCCATTTATTCACGTAAACTTGATGAAAGCGGTGCTTCAGTCACGAGTATTCGCACTCAAATCAATTTATTGCTCATCGATCTTGCCACAATACTGCATTTCCCAAGGAAGACCGGACGGACTGACTACTTTTCCGAAGCACAACCGGCATTTCGACGGTTAAAAAACAAGAGGATGGAGAAGAAGAAGAAGAAAAAAAAATTCCAGCCAGCCATAAACGCGAATTGGTCAATTGCCCCACAATTTCAACGTCACGACCGGGGACAATGAAGGCGAAATCTCGACTGATCTTGGGATGATGCAAAACGCCGTTCAACAAAAACAGATACACCAATTTTCGCCAGGCATAGGAATACATTCAAATACAGCACTGTACTGTACTGTACTGCATCACTGACCTGCATCTTCCGCGAGACGCCGTCGAGCTGGGCAGGCTCCATCCTCATCCTCTGCGAGATGCGCAGGTAGGAAGCGGCGCCTTCGTGGACCGGCAGCGCCTTCCGCGCCACCTCCAAGTCGCCCGACACGAAGTGGATCTGCACAGCCGCCTGGTCGTTCTTCAACGCCAGCATTCCTTGCCACATGATCGGGTAACGCTGAAGAATGGAAAAAAAAAAAAAACCCACACGTGTCAATCCTCTCTCTTTAAATCTACCACCGGTCTCGTGGGTTCGCGACTCCCGGGTTATTCAACCCGGCTGTTCTCCATACATTTTATACAGTACAGAATTCATCTCTCACAACGACAGGCTCATGAGTTTGAATTTCGATGAATTATAAAATACAGTAAAGTCTTCAGAATCAATCGTCAAAAATCTTTTGGTGCTCTCTTACATTAAAATCTCGACGAATGTAACTTCCTGGCATGTCCGGCAAATGTCAATCTCCTTATATCGAATTATTGGTTACAACGAAGTCGTTTACCGGGTCCCTGCCCACTAGCAATAATGCTATTTCAATCGCTTAATAAAGAAGCGATTCTAAATTCTTTATGAATCACTTTATTGTTATTTTTCTCTATTCTTCATTAATCGCTTTATGAATAATTCATCGTTATAAAGAAGCTTTATTCCCGGCCCGAATAGCTTCGTCGTAACGAAAATTTACAGCATAGCCCGAAGTGAGAAACGTCAAACAACCCTGACCTGATTAGACATAACGTAGATTCACACACCTTTGACCAACCGAAAATCAACGAAATCCGACAACAATGACATTTTAAATTACAGTGGCCCGTTTCAACGGAAAGAACAATGCCCTGAATATCGATCCGGAAGCGGAATTTCCGCTGATCAGGAACGCACCTTGAGCAGCATAAAGAGAGAGTCGACCTGCGTCGGTCCGGGCGACCCAGCGTCGCCGCGCAAGGAATGCGGCGACGAGGGCACCAACGGCGGCTCCATAGGTACGAGCGCCGACGCGGACGTGGAAGGTGATGCCGCCGGAATCACAGGTGAATCTTGTTGCTGTTGTTGCTGCTGTTGTTGTTGTTGTTGCTGAAGTGACGGCGAGGCTGCGGCCGTCGTTGACGCATTGGACGACACCGAGCTGGCGCGAAGGTCTTGCACGGGCGACGCTGCGGGAAGCGGTAGGCCCGGGTGAGACGGCGGCCGCACAACCGCGGCGCCCACGTGCGCAGGAAGCGGCGGCTGGCGTCTGTCGTACACCGGCGACTCTGCTTGTCGCAACTGGGACGCCGCGTGGATCCCGTGCACTCCGGGCTCCACTGAACCTTCCATTCGGCGCACTGAAAAAAAGAAAAAAAAAAACCCAATTCCATGTAGCAAACAATTTATAAAATTTGAAAGGGACAGCGTATCAGGGCAAAGGACTGAAACTTTTTCTAATCCAATCCACTATGGAGTTTTGCAACCCCTATTTGGATGATGAACATCTCATCAAGTGTAATTCTCATGTGCTTCATGGTGTGAGGTCTTCGGAAACACGGCAAAATGAGAATGTCTGAGAAAGATTGACGCACTTCATTTTTGTAAGAATTCGAAGCATTAAAAAATTACTTGTAAGACATTCCAACAATGCAATTGAAACCGAAGACTCAATTAAAGGAACTAAATTAAAGTAAAACCCCGACACACGGGAGATTCGACTTAAGGACACACGAAACTAAAAAATCTGCCAAGGCATCCGGACAATGTCTCGACAAACGGACTCTTTCCCAAGATTTCTAAAGAAATGAAATTTTCATTTTCAAAATGTTGATATTCCTTGAAAAACTGAGATACAGCATTTATAATAACAAACATTAAAAATGAATTTGAATGAACATATCCATTTTGTGCTTTCTTTCGAGTTGCACAATATAGCAAGACCTTTACTTTTTCTTTGCTTTCAATCTCCTAGTTGAGAAACACAGTTATGGCGGATTTATCCCATATTTTTGATGAACTGAAGAACTAATTGGATAAGCTCCGACTGAAATCTATATAAAAAAAACAAAAACGACGCGACATGCGGACATGGCCAAAACACCAATTACTGTACGTCCGAATCTCGAGGTTTTACGGTACAGACTTCAATGAAAATTTTCTTTGCAGGCCAAATTTGTGGATTGCGGACATTCGATGTGCGTCTTTCGGTAATGGATCAATCAATAATTAAATTCAAACGCTTTCCCCAACTTCATCGTGTATACACATGCGACAAAAACAGAACTCTCAAAAGAGGAAAATATATTTTTAAGAAATGAAAACTTACCTCCGGGGGGAACAGAAAACTGCGGCAATCGAGCAACTCGCTGGTGCATCGGGTCCAACGATGCCTGGCTCGGATACGGCAAAAATCTGCTCATGTCAGGTCCAGCAGCACCGGGTGGATACGGAACCCCGACTCTGTGCAGATCCTGGGCCGCGAGCTGCAAATGCAATTCCAATATTAAAACTTGCTTCCGAGAGCAGACAACCACTTTATCATAAGACATGCATCAAGAAACAAAAAGAGCGTCGTATGAAATGCAATGTTCAACTCAAAGACGTAAACTTCACCATTCAACAATACTAGATAACGGCGACCATAAGCACGAAATAGCGTAGTCCATTAATGATGTAGCGGAATAACCGTTACAAAATTACCCACACGGAAGAAAAAAAATCACACAGCACACGACAAAACACGCGTGCACCACAAAATCCACGATTAACCACCAGCAACCACTCCGAATCACAAGATAATCAACAAAAGCTTTCCAAACTGCAGCACCACATCCAATTCCCGTCGTCGATATAATTTCGATAATTACAGTACTGTACGTCTAGTCATGCGGATAAAGGATTGACTGTCGTGACGATTTAGACTTTAGAGCGCGTCAATGGACTGAAAAGAACAACAAAAGCACGCTCTAAACTGCAACCGAAGATTACCGTAAACCCAATAATTAAAATATAGTCAAGTACAGTACCCGGAAAATATACTTCGTCTTTTCCCAAACGTATTAGAGGCAAATTTTGAGGCTATTTAACGGGGTTGAGGGTTTATCAAAAAAGCCAAATACAGTACTATATGAAAGTCAAGCAAGATCGGAAATACAATTCGTATTCTTCCAGGAAACAATCAAAATAACCCTCGGACGCGTACATTTAAAAAGCTAATGTTCCATATAAGTCATAATAAATCATGACATCTTTGCGTTTGTCTGTTTTAATTTGGAGACCTCTCACAGAAATTTGAATCTTGTTGGCGAGCTATCAAAGACAACATTAATTCGAAGAAACATTTTTCAGTTGTCAATAATTTTGGCGCATTGCCGTTTTAACGGGGGGTTTTCCCCCCTGCTATTGTCATTACGGATAATTTGTTCTTCAAAATAAATTGGCGGTTGCCAAGGGAGGTGTCTCAACTGGGTTTGGCTGTACTATGAAGCCTCTCTCCATTTTGACCCATCGCAACTCAGCTCAACTGAACTGCACTCCATGTCTCACACGAATAAATGTTCGGCGCAAGGACCCTTCTTTCCTTAGTTCTCGATACTTTAAATGAAACTGATGACCGTGTTGGTATAGCAGCAGCAGCAGCAGTACTGTACAGTACAGTACAGGGGTAGAATTGGCGCAAGGACACCGAGAAGAAAAACGCACAGCACAACCCAGTCGACGAAAGCAGTCTCAGCACACGACACAAAACATGGCCCGTCAGCCGTCACTCACCTGTCCCCTCGGCATGCACGCGGACGCCGGACACACCGTCATGCAACAGTGCTCGTGGCACAAACGACGTCCATTCATGCACCAGCCACGACTCAGTCTACACCGCTTTACGCCGAACGAATAACCGCACCCGTAGCGAAAGTCCGAGTCATTTTTTTGTTGTTTAATTCCAGTTTCGAAGACATGAACGAACGCGAAAACAAGAGGGAGAAACAGACACGAAGAAGAAGCGAAGAAACACGCATGAGTACATACTGTAGTGGTACTGAATTCCATGCAGGAGACGTCGATAAATATATTTTAGAATACAAAATATTATTTTATATCGTACAGTTGTAGTTCTTCTTTCACAGCGGACAAGACGGCTTCCGCAACTAACATGACCAAAAAATTATAAATACTGTACGGCAAAATTCCGCCACAACTATTTTTTCTTGTCCTGGCACTTTCTTCGGAGGGACAGTTACACAAATTTCGTTAGAACGAACTAATTCTCCTCTACAGTATATCAGTACAACGGATTTTCGCTTTTGGGCATGGAGATTTTTACGAATTGGCTAAAAATGACAAAACCCAAATTTGGCCCAAGTGAAAAACCTTAAAAACTATGAATGCCGATTTTTTGGTGCAGAAAATTTAAAAAAAAAACCTTAAAAACTATAAATGCCGATTTTTGTGTGCAGAAAATTCAACATTGCTGGAAGTACGAAGCTCAGGTATGAAGTACGGTAGAGTATTAAGCAGAAAATGCGGGCAATTTATTCACAATTCGATGTTGAGGAAATACAGTACTTCAAATCAATTATTGTACTGTATTACCCGATCTCAACAAAATGTCAATCCTATACGTATGCTCAAACAACCAGGAATCTCTCTAAAACGAATTTTTCGCAGGTATCTCGGAATTCTTTGTAAAAATAATTACTGCATTCGAAGAACATCCCATATCACTTCTCAGTAAGCTTTCGAGGGTTACAAAAAACGCGAGATGAATCGAACGAAGACGGACGAAAAAAAATAATAACAAGACTGATATGCAAACTGTGATTGTCAATAAGGCGTCAAAGACTCACGTATTCATGGGCGGAGACAGTCGGGTCGGGCAGACGGGCCAGGTGACTCGCCGCCTGGTGGGCCAGCGGCACAGCATCCGGCGTCATTCTCAGCGACGACGGCTCCGGCGACGACAGCGTGGACACGCCGCTACCGTTGCTCGATGGGTCCAGGTCATCCGGCGACCGCTTCGGCACTCGGGTCACGAAAGACGAAGCCCTGTGCGCCTCCGGGGCTGGCCCCATGTACGGCATTTGCCGCAAGAGCGGCTGCTGCCGAGCACCACCGACAACAGCCGACGAGGTCCCCGATGACGGCGGCGTCGACACGGACGGGGCGCTGAGGTGGAGGTCGAGCGGCGCCGATTGCGGGGCCACTGCCGACGGTGATGTTTGGATGACGGCGGATCGCGGATGGTTGGCCGAGTGCGCCGGCGGCAGGTTGTGCGGCGACTCGGGCCCGAGCTTTGTTGTGATCACTGCCCCTCGCACGTCCGTCGCCGGTATTCTCATCATGGCGTCCTTTGAAAAAGAAACGTAAGAAGTTCGGTTCAGTACAAGACAGAGAGGAGCATCTTACGCGCAAGCCCCTCACATCGCCATCGCCGAAAGACGTTTAAACCGCAAAGGTTACCATCGCTGAGGTACTTCGAATTACTACTGTAAATGCTGAATCTTTACACTTACTCTGTCATCATTACACATGTAAAAGGAGGCCAGAAAAAACTAGAGAAAATTAAGGATGAAACTGGGGCGAAATTCCAATTGTCGGTCACATCTAAAACGATTGAACCTTTTTGGCCAGCGAAAAGCACAGAAGGGATGATTCATTACACAATATTAATTCGACCATGGACACCGACGAAACAACAGGCTGCTTTGTCCAATCCAAACACTCGAATTCGCCACAAGATGAATACAAATACATAAATGCTCGATTCAAGCTTCTAACTATGGGCAGAAATCTGGGTTGGAATCCAAGCCCGACCAACAAAAAAGAAATCAAGATTAGAAGCAGTTGACTAACAGTTCATTTCAAGAGATGAGCTTCAGATGAAAAGCACGAACAAAAAAATCGCTAAGTGATGGCTGCGGAAGAATTTTCCCGAAAATAAGATACAGTAACAATGAATAGGCGATAGAGATAAGTTCTTTGAAAGAAAATTTCCCTCTCTTGCGACTGAAATCCAACAACATGATTATAGTACAATACTTCTGTTGCATATTGCTTGAAGACAATGAGTACGAACACATACATCATCTTTGATTTAATTGCGCTCATCTTCCCCACTACAAGTTCCTGAGCTCTCACGTTCAAGACAGCTCCGGGTAGAATTTCAGAAGGGGTCCAGGAAACAATTTCAACAAAATTCAGCAATAAAAATACTAAAAAAAAAAAAAAACTCACTCGTCGATCCAATTCTGGTGGCATTCGCACTGCGGTGTTCACTCCGGTCGACGTGAGCGACACGGGCGGCGAGTGCTGCATCGGATGGTGCATGTGATGCGTCGGAACCTGGGTCCGCACGAGCGGCGACGCCTGCGTGCCCATGGACGCCACCATCGTCACGGGTTGGAACGGGCCACCGGACGCCGTTAATCGCGCTCCGACCGTCGTCGGCGGTTGTCCAGTCACACTGCCCGGGTAGCCCGTCGGCGGCCGATGCATATATGACACTTGCTGCATCATCACAGGACGAATCTGAGCTGCCATCGGATGTGCAGGCACACCCGACGGCGACGACATCGGCTTTCCGTGCTGTCCGTACACTATGTGTGCTCCAGTGCTCTGAGGGGGGAAACGAACAATGCAAATTTCGCGTGAAAAAATACTGCCTCTACGCTACCAGTGAACGCTTCAAATTTTTTCAGCAACAATTTTTGTTGTAACGAAATTTTACTGCATCTCATTGACACAGACGGTCATGGGCGCTTAGAAACATGAAAATGAGAAAAAAACGAAGTTTCTACGGTACAATGAAAAAAAGGAAAGAAAAACCAGATGCGATGGTTGATCGTTCTTGACATTAACAATCAGAAAACGTAACGGGTGCTAAAAGCATTTCAACATAAAAAAAGTAAACTCTATCTACGACGTTACTTACGGTCATGGCTACAGTTGAAGGCACAGGTATCCATCCTCCATGAGGCAAAGGTGCCCCGGGCTGACTCGTGATGACCATGCTTGGGTGGACTGCTCTGGGTGCCACTTTGCTGTCAACGTGCACAGGATTCAACGGCCTCGTGGTTCTGCGGACGAAGAAGAAGAAAGGAGATTTATTAAAAACTGTTGCGTCGAATTCTCTAAAATTTACAATTAAACGAGCGGTAATTTCTACCGATTGAAAAGAAAAGAAGGGCAATCCATGACAAACCTTGCGACGGCATCAGCTGACAGAGGTAACCGGGATCGAGGAGGCAAATAGGCGCCTCTCGGCGACGCCAGCACCATTTGCGGCATAGGCTGATACGGTTGTTGCTGCTGCTTGACGACATTCACAGGCGGCGCTACGCGAACCATGCCAACGGGCGGCTGCGTCACTTGCGGGGCCCGAATGCTCGTCATTGTCACAGTTGCCGCCACGGGTGGCGCCACAGATACCTGAGTCCTACTCGGAGTCCCGATGCTGCTCGTGTTCCCGTTGTTTGTCACTCGGTAGATCGTCACGTTGCCGCCGGCTGTGGGCGGCAATTTCGACACGGCCGTCGACGCAGGTGGTGTTGTTCGCTGAGGCATGGGTGGTCCGGGAATCGGAGTTATGGTCAGAGACGGTCCCGGCGTGACGATGCCACCAGGTACCGGTGTTCCAACAACGACCTGCGACAGAATCAACAGACATATTCATGAAGAATATTCCTCAAACAAAAAAAAAACTTCAGTTTCCTCAAATGAAACCGCGGGGGAAAAAGAAATACGAAGATGAACCCGAAATTTTCAATTACTGTACCTGCGGCGCAGGTTTCTCCTGTTTGTCAGCAAGCGGAATGTAGCTGCCTTCTTTGACTTTCATTTCCATCATGACACCCGTCTCCGGATCAATGAGCGTTTCCGACACTTCCAGGGACTTCGGAATAACCACAGGCTTAATCTCCTGTTTCGGCGGACGAAGGTCTTCCGGTTCCGCCAAGCTCTCCAGATCCGTCTTGATCAAGATCTCGTTGTCATTCGGTAGGTCTTGCTTGATCTCCATTTCTGAAACAGAAGCGAAATATCAACGTAGGGCACATACTTCTCGATAACACAAACTCTAAGGCTTCCCCCCTCAAAAGCCTACTATTTTATTGACACGGGAAAGAAAAACGAAATAAAAAAGGAATTTGATGTATTTTGAAAGGATGTGAAAGATTAATTAGAAAAATGAACCCTTTCCGCAACAAAACTTCTGCATCCAGTCAACTAATTCGGAAAGCAATATACAGTACAGTAATGCCTAGAATACCACCAATTACATTTTCCTGCATTTCTTCCTTTCTTTTCCCCCCGAAAAAATGCTCATATCTCTAACTCGAATTTTTTTTGCTGGGCCATTAAAATTAAACTTGCAGAGGTTCGAATGTAGAAGCGAGTGAGACGATAAAGAAACCACATTCTCTTCTTCAAATAAAAAAAAAAAAAAAACCTCGAGAAAATGTTTCATCAACTCCTCGTTCGAGTAGAAATTAGAACATTAAGCAGTAAGCTCATCAAAAATCCACTCACTCGGACCACCGACGAGCACCACGACCCTCTCAGGCTCTGTAACAATGACGGGTGCCGATGTTGTTGGTGCCGGTACGACCACCTGAGCACCTACTGCCACCACTACCGGTGGCAAGGGCTCCACAACTCGCGGCGACGTCAACATCGTCGCCGGTTGCTCCGGCTCCACGTAATTGCCCTTCACGACTTCCTCAATGATCTCATCGACGGAGTTCTTGCCTTCCTTCTCGATCAACCGCCGCGACTTCCTCGTATCCGAAGGCGACGGCTGCGTGACAACTTTCTCCACTTCGGGCTTCTCCGTTTCTGTCTTGACTTCCGAGATCTTGGCTTCGGCAGCCGGTAAAACAGCGACGGGCGTCGTTTGGGCGGCTGGCGAAGAACCAGCCTTTTCTTTAACCGACTTTTCGTCCTCCTCATCGCGGAACTCAAAAACGTCGTACGACGATCTGGTTTCCGGACTGGTTTTCCCAAACACTGCAGGCGTTGGTAATGTTGCAGCAGGGACAGGTGGCAGCGGAAGAGGAACAGAGGGCGTAGTAGTCACTGGAACGATCACAATAGCCGCGGGTTTCACTGGAGTAGGCGGCAGCGCCGCCGCGGCGCTGTTGGCAGCAGCAGACCGCCGCGTCCTTCGCTTGTTCGACTCTGGTTCTTCTGGCACAGGTTGCGGCACGGGCTGGATAAGGTGTGGCTGAGGCGACGGCGGCGGCGACTCCATTCGCAAAGAAATCTTTTCCGGAGTGCCTTTTCGTCGGGAGCTGCCCCGTGCATTGCGCCCACGTCCTCGTCTCGGGGACTCGTCCACTTCCGATTCACTGTGACTCGTCTTCCTCAAAATCTCCTCTTCAAGCACACCTGAAAAATAAAACAAAAGAATAAAAATTTTGAAATTTATCTTCAAGAGAAATGAAATTCAAGAACTCAAGATGCCATTCTGCAAAGAGTACTGTACAGTTCGACGGAGGACCGCGCTCAGTCCCATAAATCACTTCTTATGCGGCTTCTTGCTTCTTATTTTTCGTTAGCATTTCAGCTAGAGGCACTCGAACGGTTTACTATTGATTCAAATTCACCACGATCCCAATTTTCAAAGACATTTCAGCATAAAATTACCGTATTTCAGTATAGCTAAATGTATTCTTGTTCTTTGACTCTCGAGCTCCTTCTGATGCCAAAAGATCGGATTCTGTGTGGGTTGCTTGTGCAAATATATTCTGCATTTTGAAGTTGAGAACAATTTTTAATCAATCGTTGGAGAATGTATTCCCAATTTTTGATGAAAAGGAGAACGAATTGAATATGTTTCAATCGAGGTCTTCGGGAAAAATGTGATCTGACACACGGACACTTCGACATAGGGACATGGGTCCAAGCACCAATTACGTATATATCTAGCTAACATCTTAAGCCCTCGAAAATCAAGATTAATTAATTCAACACTAACCAGCAAGACAAGGCTCATCGCTCCTCGCTGGTGACACAGCATTGGCTCCTCGACGACCGCCCCGACTGCGGCCCTTAGGCGCCGCTTTAATTGGGGTCTTCTCTGGTTCTTCACTAGCCAACACCGCCGGAGAGCATTCGGATGTTTTCCTCCCTCGTCCTTGGGATCGTCCTCGTCGGCCTCTGCTTCCAGACCGACCACGAGCAGCAGGAGCCACTTCGGTCATGTCCGGTTCAGGTTCAGGTTCAGGCTCTGGCTCAGGCACGGGTTCCGGCTGAGGCTCAGGCTCCAGCACGGGTACAGGCTCAAGCACGGGCTCAGGCTCAAGCACGGGTTCAGGCTCAGGCACAGGCACAGGCACAGGCTCAGGCTCAGGAACGGGGACAGGCTCTGGTTCAGGTTGGGATTTCAGCAGTTCCGGCTCTGGTTCAGGTTTAGGTTCCGGGGCCGGCTCGCGTTCCGCTTCTGCTAGAATTTCCGATTCCGCTGTTTCTGCTTCGTCCGCTTCCAAGCTTTAAAATTAATCAAGCGATACAATTTTAGTGCGGCGAATATTTTCCAATTGAACCTCAAAAATGGACGACAGGCGCAATTTTTAGAACAACTTGACCAATGAAAGCTGAGATGCGCAACTTCCTTCAATCAAGAGAAATCCAGTTCGGATGTACAGTTGAACCTTTATAACGTATCTCTCAGATTCGAATTTCTTCAAGTCCTCGTCCGAATTCCCGTAGAAAAACAATGATTTAAAAACCTTCCTAATTCGAAGGCTCTCCCCGTCCAACAGCCGTAAGTCGACCTTACTGAAGGCCTTTTCCTATTACTTTATTGAAATAGGAAAGAGAAAAGCAGTAAAAATGCGAATTGATGTGTTTTGAAAGAAAGTGCAAGACTAATTGAGTAAATTAACCCTCGCATCCAAGTTCAGTATCCTGTCAATTTCCTGAATTCTTTCCCAATAAAAATGCGTTTTTCCCACAATTCGAAACCTCCCTAAATTTTTTTTTTTGGTCGTCCATTGAAGTTTGCCTTGCAGAGGTTCAACCATAAAAAAAAAAAAAAACCTCAAATTTTACGTGCAAGAACTAAATACAAACCGATGCAAGGCGTCCTCAATGTCGGAGGATTTCTCCGCAGGCAACGGACTGAATGCCGGCTGTTCCACCTCGAGCTTCGCTGGTACGTCGTTGAGGTCTTCCATGGTGTCGCTCGTCTTGCATTCACTCGAGATGGCCGCCACCGCAACGGCGCATTCGTCGATCGTCAACTGCGGCTCATCGCCGGGACTCGGCGGCGGTGACAGTTCCGCCTCAATGGCAGACAAAGCGTCCGGCAACATCTTTCCTTCCGAAGAAACTTCGGGCAGGGTTTCCACGATCAAGTCCGACGACTTCAAAACTGTTTCCACGACGGGTGCTTCATCGGGCTTCTTCAAGGACTCGGGTTTCTCGACTGGTTTCAAGTCGATGCTGTGCGAAGGCGGGAAATGGAACGATTCTTCCAACGATTCTGGCAGCGGGCTGAACATGACCACCGACGGTTTCGTTTCCACATCATCGACGACAACAACGGGGTGGCTTTCCGTCACCGCGGCGACAATCACAGGTTCCACTTCAGCATCGACGACCACACCAGACTTGACGACTGATTCGACGGCGGCGCTGACAACAACCAATTTCGGCACGGGTTCCAGACTCGCCACAGCCTTCAGGGCTTCTTCGTCCACTTCGTCCGGCTTGGGCGGAGATTTCACCACCACTGCTGTCGGTTCCACAGGAACAAACGGAGAAAAGGTTTCGCCCAAGATGGTCGCTACTGCGTCGTCGGTTTCTTCTTGGGAAATCACAGCCCGACTTTTGGGTTCTGGCCGCATCCCAGTTGAACTCAGCGGCCGTTCCTTCACGGGCTCCTCGTGTTCCTCAATCACCTCCACCTTGATTTTCTCCACCTGCACTTCAGTAGGTTCGCACTTGATTTGCGGGGGTTCCGCCTTTACGGGTGGGGGTGGGGGCGGCGGTGGCGGAGAGGGTTCCACCACCACTATCGCCGTCAACGTTGGTTCTTCCTCTTCTCGTTCCTCGACCTGCGGTTCCTGTTGTTCTTCTTCTTCGTCACTTCGGGCTTCTTCGATATGCAGCGGCGGCAAGTCTTCGTCTTCCTCGTCAATTTCGGCGTCGATGTCAACACTGTCGCGGTCGGCGAAAAACGCCGGTTCTGTCTTAATCATCACTGGTGTGCATTCTGGTACCAAACAAGTCCCACTGGTCCGTTTCTCCTCCTCTTCTTCAAGACTCTTCAAATACTTTTCCGGACTGTCCGCGTCGTCATCGTAGTTCTTTTCGTCCAGGGAGGTGTGGGTCAAGCTTGCTGTCGTCGTTGTAGTCGTCGTAGACGCGCGAGGAGAGATCGAGGCACGCGGAACAGTGCGGTCGGCGGACTTGCGCGTCGGCGTTTCCGCAAACACGCTCGAGTCTGTCGACGACATCTTCATGAGCGTCGACGACGTCCACTCTCGAGGGCTAAGACTCGTGGAATCCAGGGATAACGTTGGCACCGCACCGCGATCCGCAGATCTGTTGATTGATAACAAATTTCAATGCAAATGATCGACTAGAATGAAAATGAAGGTTGGCGAAGAAACAATACGTTACCTTCTGTTGGAGTGTTTTTCGTGTCTTCCGTGTTCACGCTCACTCTTGTGTCGTCTCCTCTCCTTACTGTCTTTACTCTTCTTCTTTTTCTTCTTCTCCTTCCGCGCCAGTTTCTCACTCAGCTTCAAGGCACCAGAAACGGGCGTCGAAGGAATAGACACTTCGGAAAAGCTCGACCGGTTCTTGTTCTCTTCGCCGGGCTTCTCCTCCTTCACCTCGGCCTCCAAGATCAGCTTCTTCTTATCCTCGTCAATTTTGAGCAGCCCGAAGGCCGTCGTGTCGCTGGCCACGAGTTTCGAGCCAATCCTGCAGCCGTCCTTCGGCAAGTGGTTCTCAATGTCTTTCAATTCCGACTGGAACGAAATCCCCGGGGACTTCTTCGGCTCGATGTCATTCGTCGTCGGCAGGGAGTTCATCTGCGGCGGGATCCCAATATTGGAATCGTCCGACATGGGACCAAAGATCTCCTCGAGCGCTGAACCCTTTCGACTCTTCTTGCGAATATCCTCCTTCGTCAGCCCGGAACCGGATTTGTGGCGTTCTTTCTTCGATCCCCCGGAACCGGACGAACGTCGTCGCTTCTCTTCACGAGGCTTGTGGTGATGGTGTTCGTAAGACTTGATGGCTGACGACGACGTTCTGCTTTCACTGCGACGCTTCTTCTTCTTCATCATCTTGAGGAGCGAGGAAGAGGAGGAAGACACGGTCGGGGCTTGCACCAACGCGTTGTCTTCCGAGTCCGACGAGTCAGACACCAACTTCGCTATCCGCGTCAGCTGAGGCTTCTGCGGGCCGTCGTCTGAGTCGTCGCTGTCGTTGGCAGAGAAGACCTCGGCTGTGCTTTTCTTCTCGAGTTTCCTCTTCTTCTTGAGGCGCTTCAAAGACATGGACGCCGAACCCGTCGATCCAACGTCCGAAGCCTCACCCGACGACAACCGCATTCGTTTCATCTTCTTCTCCTTGCTCAACTTCCCTGATTTCACCGACGACTTCTTGCTCGGCTCCGCTTTCGTCTTGGGCGTCGGCTTCTTCTTCGGCAAACCTTCTTCCTCACTGTCGGTTTCCTGCTCGTCAGCTGTAGACACGATCGTCAGGCGACGCGGTGGAAGCGTGGCCGGGGGTCGGATGTCGTCGTCGTCGTCCGAAGACGTGTCCAGCAGCATCTTGGCTGGCTTCTTTTTGATGCCGAGGCCGACGGATGATCCGCCACCTGCTGACGAGTTTCCACCACAGCTGGGATTTATGTCAGAATCCGAGTCCGAGTCGTCGGTCACAAAGGCCATGCTGCTGTGCTGACGCTGCGCCTGTTGCTGCTTCTTGTTCAATCGAGATTGCTTCAAGGCGCTGAACTTGTCTTTGGGTTGCGAGACAGGTGACGAGACCGGATCCTCTTGCTTCTGTTTGTTTTTGCATGATCGAGCCTTCACCTAAGTAACACGAAAAAAAGACGGGGAAAGGTTAGTAAAACAAGCATAGGAAAAATACAGAGAGACCCCGACAATCGGACAGTGGCTCGGGATACGGACACTTCACCAATATTCTCCAGAAAAAAAAAACGAATTTCTCAACATTTTGATATCCCCTGGACAAATTTAGCTATTCATATTCACAAAAATTGAAAACACATTTCATTATAGATTTAATTCACAGGTAATTCATCATCAAAAACAGACTGATTTTGTGATTAATTTCAATCATCTGTGCACAATAGAGCAAGATTTATTTCTGTCCTTCGCTTTTCAAGCTCCTTCGATGCCAAAAATTAGATTCTACGTGTTTTTCTTCTGCATCTTCAAGTTGACGGAAGCAATTGTTATTCAATTTTTTGGGGACAATTATTCCTAATTATCTGTTGATAAATATGAGAACCAATTAAATAGGTTTGGATTGAAGTCCGTGGCAAAACGTGATGCGACATAGGGACAAGCACCAATTACGTCCGCATCTTAGGGTCCCATTCAATAAAAGATAAAAATTCGGCGGCGAACCGTAATGAAAGAAAAGGAAGAAAAAAAAAGTGGCTCGCCTTTGAAGAGGAACCCGTAATGAGCTGCACAACTTTTCTCACCTTGTCATACATGGAAAAGTACACAGGTTCAGTTTCGTCTGTCACGATGTCGAAAATAGAGTGCGGCTTCTTGGACTTGTTCAAGCTGGGCTCGTAGTCCTCGTCAGATGAATGATCAGAGCCAGACTTCTTACTTTTCGACTTTTTCTTGCTTTTCATTCCGGATTTGCTGGATCGCCGAGAGCCGTCATTGTCGGATTCGGACGCCCTCTTCTTCCGCCGTCGTTCCTCTTTCTCGCGTCGCTTCGCCAACTTTTCCGCCGGCGTCTTTTTCGGCGGTGCGTCCGGTCCGTTGAAACTGGACTTTCTTCGCTCACGATCCTTGTCGGTCTTCTTCTTGGATTTGGACGAGTCTTTGGACTTGTGGTGGTGGTGATGATGATGCTTCTCCACCCCGTTCTCCATTGCGTCCGGCGAACCGTTGTCGTTGTCGTGCTGCTTCTTGTGGAGCTTTTTGTGCTTGTTCTTTTTGCGCTCGTCGCGACTTTGCGACGACTCCGTGTTGGTGGAGTCCAGGGACGCGCACGAGTCCAGCTTGGGTTTCTTAGCCTCAGGCAAACCGGAACTCGGCCGCGGCTTAAACTCGGACGCCTCGTGGATCGACACGCGTCGCTTGACACCCGCCGTCACTGGTGGCGACGCCGTCTCTGTTTTCTGTGTCGATGTCAGTGACTCACTCACGTCTCCGAAGGACTTGATGATCTTGGGCGACGGCGACGGGTCTGCTGACTCGAAGGACTTCAACTTTGACGTCGTCGTCTCCACTTCGAACGGCTTCATTTTAGGCACCATCGGTTCCACTTCGAATGGCTTGATTTTAACCGGCGCAGCTGAAGTCAGAGGTTCCACTTCAAAAGGCTTTATTTTGGCTGGCGCAGCTGAAGTTAACGGTTCCACTTCGAAGGCTTTCATTTTCAGCGCGGGTTTCGTCGTCACCGGCGACTCAGCCTCCAGTGAAGAAGAAGAGGAGGAGGTCTTGATCTTCGGCATCTGCACATCCACCGCTTTCGACGAAGGAGCAGGAGGAAGCGGTGGAGCTCCTAACACAGATTGCTGCTGCTGCTGTTGTTGGTCCGCCCCTACTACTTTCGACAGCGATTGTTTCGACGACTCGACCTCAAAGGACGACTTGGAAGTTTTCGGCGTCGTCGGCAGCGGCTCCGCCGTCTTAAGCTCCGTCACTTTCGGATCGGCAGCAGGCAAAGTGCACAGCAGCGGCGGCGGCGGAGGAGGCGGCGGCGGTGGTGGAGGCGGTTGTGGTGGTGGTGGTGGCGGCGGCTTCTTGCCGGGTTGACTAGAACTGACACTCACGGGCAGTGACTCGGGCTTGTGTGTCATGTGGTGCTTGTGTTTGCTCCTGTGTGTCTCAGGTACTCGGCTCGGCGCCTCTTCGCTCATTGTCGCCGCCATTTGCGCTATCACAGCTTCTTTCGGCGCCGTCCGGTTCTGCACCGCGGCTGCCGTCATCGCCGCCGTCATCGGGTAGTTGGTCAGCGGAGAAACGCCTGCAGTCACCGACGGCGTCGGTAAACTCAGCACCCAACTCGCTACACTCGGGTTCGGGCGTGGATACTTGGGTGGCTCAGGCGGCGCACAAACCGGCGGTGTCGACGAAGACGACGCCGACAACGGAGGCAGGGGCGGCTGCTGCTGCTGATGTGGTGGCAATGCTTTGCAGACCGCCGGTGTTGGCCAGGGTGTCACAGTGGTGGCCAAGGGCGGCGCCACAGCTCCTGGGGAACACGGTGCCGCCGTGGCGTCCTTGGCCGGTTTTATCCGGCCCAGCGCCAACAACCGCGATCGGTCCAGCGTCTTCGCCGGCGGTAGTTTGTCCACAGCGTCCTGCGACGATGATGAAGTTAGGCTAGAAACTGACGCGCCATTAACTTTCTCGCAGCCCGTGCTCGTCGTTGGCGACAACGGCGACGGCGTCGGGATCGTCGTTGCCAGCGACTCGAGCCGTTTCGAGTCCACGTCAAACACAGATGGCTTCGACAGCAGCGACTGCACAAACGGCGACGGCGTCGGGCGCAACTCCTTAATGTCCAGCATTCGCGGCGGCTTCTTCCCAATTGCCTCGATGTCGGTGTTCAACAGGTGTTGCGAGGCAGCGACAGACGAATTCTTGGCGGCGCCGCTCCACTTTTCATAGCGCGCGTCAAACTGGCGAATTTGCTCGTCCAGCGATGTGCCCGGGGATCGCGGCGGCTTCGGACTCACCATGTCCGACGCCGCCGATGATGATGACGCGGACACGGGCGGAGGCGGTGGAGTCGCAGGCGTCGTTGTTGTTGTCGTCGACGAGGACACCGGCGCGTCACTGGCAACTCCCGGTGAGAGGAACGAGGCCAGCGAGCCGGCAGGCGGCGACTTGACGCTGCTCGCCGGAGAGTTCGGCGACGTCGACACAGACAACGGCGTCATTGTTCGCGCAAACTTGGGCAGCGGCAACGAGATCGGGCTTTCGGCCGAGCGCGGATATCGGCCCAGTCGTGGCGGCGGCTGTTGTGTTGATGTTGTTGTTTGCTGGTGATGGTCGGCGGCCGTCGTCGTCGGGTCCATCGCCGCCGGCATCTCGTCGCACAGTGGCGTCCCTGGGCGCGAATCAGACGACGAGGCCGGCGCCACGGGACTGCTGCCAGCCGACACGTCGTGCACGCTCGGCACTCTGTTGAACACGGAGTTCGGCAGGCCCTGCAGCTTCGGCGCGGCCACTTCTTTGTGAGATCGGTGCGGGGACGGCCGGTACGACACGGCGCCCGGCAGCGACGATGGTGCCGTGGCTGCCGGGAGCGGCCCGTTGTGTCGCGGCGGTTGTTGCTGTGCTGCTGCTTGTTGTTGTTGCTGCTGATGCTGGGCTTTGAGATCCGGTGGTCGGCGTGAGGTCTTGCTCCCTCCTCCTCCTCCGCCAGCCTTTGCCGCCGCAGTCGTCGCGCTAGAGGACGACACGGCGGGCGATGACGAGCCGGACGACAGCGGAGGAGTGTGGCTGCCGAACGACGGACTCGGACTGCTGCGACAGTTGATGCTGTCCGTCCGCGCTTTCCGGCCCATGCCGTCACGAGAATCGTGCTCGAAGCCCTCGACGGCAAGTCCTCCCGTTACATTCATCATACTCCTGTCGGAACAAAAACACCAACAACGGGGCAATTAGGTCTCAGTCAAACAACTAAACATTAAATGAAAGGAAAAAAAAAGAAGGAAAAATCAGAAGCGTGGACATCTGCATTTACAACTACTGCACTGTATTGTACAAGTTAACCCTCGATTTAGTGCCACAGATCTCCCTGGTACGAATACCCCTTCATTATGTTCTCAGGGAAACCCCAATTTAGTGCCACAAGAATATCTTCTGTCATGTTAAAAAAAGGGCAAAAACCAAAGGAAATCGATGCAATTTTCAAGGGATATCATTAGGCCATTGACTGAGAATCATATTCCCATGCTCACATAAAACTCAGAATAATTCTGAAGATTTTATTTTGCATTTACATTGTTGAAAAATATTTTTTGCTGCATACCTTCCTTCATGAACGAAAAAAAATGGAGCTTTAATGGAAACATCAGAGATTCCTTCATGATGGCAGTTGTAATAAAACTCAAATTAACAAAAACTCTTGAGAAACAGCTCTGCTCTTTCACTAGACAGAATATGCTTAAAAATCAAATACAGTAGTTTTCTGCCTTACAATTATTTCTAAATACTGTACAGGAAGATATAAAAACAGTTCGTTTCAGCAAATTATTTCTCATGGCTTACTTCCTCGTAAAACAGAATGACCGCCATAACAATTCTATAAACCAGCTTATTTTTCATACAGTTTAAAGTTAAACCCTAACCTGGACTTACAATACCCTCGCTTAATGCCACAAAAGTGCCACGACAAAATGGTGGCACTAGATCGAGGCTTGACTGTACTTGTACCTTACTGCAGCTCTGTTATTGTTCAGACTGAACTCCATGAAGAAATCGTACACATCACTGTTTAACATAAAACGCTTCCTCGCAAATTATGAAGACTAGGTGCGTGCAGGAAAAGTATTTTACGCTCCGTCAATCGATATCGAAATGGCAAAGATGACGGATAACTGTGTGTGGAACCAAAACAAATAATAAAAGATTAAATACGAACCCAGGGCGGGGCGGCGGGGCTTTGTCGACACCGTAGGCGGCGTCGTAGTAATTTCGGCGGCCGTTGACTGCCGGGTAGACCTTGGTATTGCGGGCGTCCACGCTGCTGCCCGGTCCGGGTAACGCCAGGGACGCACTTCCGTCGCCGTTCCACTGCCGTGGACAGGGACGCACCGGGGACCGTCCTTCCACCGGACTGCTGCCGTACCATCGGTCCGTCTCGTACCTGCATTGACGAGAATTTCCCAAACATTGCGTCACGTCGCGTCCACACGCAATCATCTTTTCACGGTACTGTATTTTATTTAAAAGAGCCAATCGCGTGGAAATCCGAATATCTCTCGCTTTCTTTTCTCGATATTTCTTCTAGGAAGGCATCCACAGACTGTCGATGATCTCGGAGCAAATCCAAGATTATAACGGAAGAACCGTACACAAGAACTGCTGTGAATTTTCGTTTCCTCATGTTTCACGACGATCGACTGAAGCTTCATCAAGAAAGAACAAGCTCACCAAATAGCCAACGTAATACAACGACACGCGGATTTTTAAAATAGCAATTTCTCTCTCGAAAAAAATGAGCTACTGTAAATTATTTTTATTGAGAGAAATCCAAAATAAATCTCATGAATTTACTTTCTACTCATAATCCAAAACAAGCTAACTTCGTGCTTCTCTTTTTAGGGTTCTCTCCATCATCCATGAAAAATTGAGCAAGACTTGAGCTTTTTCTTCGCTTTTTGGACTCATTTCCAATGCAAAATGGGCAGATTCGGTGTTGCTTTCAGTATCTTGAAGTCGAGATAATTTTTTATTCAATTACTATATTCGCAAAAATCTTTCTATCTTTTCGAGAAACAAGAGAACGAATCCAACATGGTCCATTGAAGTCCATGGGAAAATGAGATCCAACATGTCCGCATCTCGGGGCCACCCTGTACAGTAATAACCTGATCTCGTCAAATCCAAAACAACTTAAAATTTTTGTTGACATTTTTGTCCAAGCGCAGTTCATACAAGGAAATTAATCATGTACTCAAGAATCAATCCTGTTCTTTCTCCAGTCAATTTCGTGACACCATCATTTCGAAAATTCCTCATCTTCATTTATACAAATTTTGAACAATATTTAGCTACTTTTTCTGTAGTACGCACCTGAAAAAAGTCCGCATAGCGAATGACAGACTCTTGATGAATCAACCCGGACCATCGCCAGGCAAATACTCTACACTACAACTGTCGTAGTCAATATGCGAACGAAAATATTTTAAAAGATAAAAAAAAATCCTCTGGCCCCTTTCTGCAGTCGAATACCGCACAAAAAAAAAACAGCCTTAGGCGCAGAAACGAACTACTGCATCCATAAATCACCAACTGCGCTCATTGCACGAGAAAAAAAAAAAAAGAAACCTAAAAGTCAACTCACTTTCTCAGTCCAGGAACGTGACTTTTCCTCCACAGCGGATTCTCAATAGGCTGACTAGACTGTTCCAGGATCTTGAAAAACGCCAGCTGGAACTTGTCAGACGCGAAGTCCAGCTTCAGCTTCAACTTGCACAGCACTCGCCCGTTCAGCTCCACAATAGCATCATTCGCTGACTTCCCCTGAAAATACAGAAAAAGAAGCGGGAGAATGTCGTCATTAGCATCATCATCATCATCAACAACAACAACATGACCATCACCAGCCATCATCCTAGCAAACGAATTCCCTCCGTTGCTTCACAGCGCAGCCGAGAGAGAAAACGGACGCGAATTTTCGCTAGAAAATGGGTTTCCCTGGCAGAAAAAAAAAGGAAGCCAAGAAACTTGTGGCCCGTCTTTCCAGCAAGAGGAGAGAGAGAGAGCGAGAGAGATTAAAAAGAAAGAAGAAGAAAGAAAAGAAAAACGGAGAGGAGGGAAGAAAACCCCCACTCGACGTCGGGTACAAGAAGGGGGAGGGCATCGACCCAGCATTCGCTCCCCGAGCATTACTCGACCCAGGGAAGAAGAAAAAGGATGACGGACGGACGGAAAGAAAATCGTCTTCTCAGCGCGTCACGGCTTTCTCGGAAGTTCTGCCCCCACCACCAACACAGAAACTCCTTCACTGAAACCGCGTGGACTCTAAAATTAACCGCCGCGAATGATTTATTTCGAAGCACTTGGATCGGTTTCACAGGAGGAAAAAATACAGAAGAATTTCGTTAAAATGAAGCTTTTGGGACCATAAAAAAGCTTCGTTTTAAACGAAAATGGGGTAATTGGACAGTGACTGAAAGAAAAAAATTCGTTGTACGCATCAATTCGCTACAATGAGATTCGTTGTAACGGGTTTCTACTTTGCAGTTAACCCGTAACTATTCCCATGCTCCTGACAGAAGGCATTGAAAGAAATGAAGTGAACATTAAAAAAAAACACAATTAGAAATGTAATACTAAACTAGGCTCTGAGGCACGCATTAAATTCAGGAATGTTGAAGTTCCACACACTCACTACAAAGAGACATACCAAATAAAACTATGCCATAAAAAAAAGCAGATCAACAGTGGAAATCGCCATCATAAGATCTTCGATTGGAAGAATCATTCAAAATTAAGACTCTTCCGACACGCAACGTGATTCGAACGTTGAATTCATCATCATTCAATTCCACTTTGCACATTATACCGTACAGTGCAATTTAACCTTTTCAAGTCGAACTTCAAGGTACCCGCAAACAAATATGAGTCAGGGAATCGGGCATTTTTTGTTTGGGGAAAGTCAGAAGAATTACACGAAATTGTAATTTGGTCATGTTCTGGGCCTTAAATTGCTTATTGAATGAGTTGACGGGATGCTGAAGTTGGAGGAAAGGGTTCAATTTGCACAACTAGTTTTTCACTTCCTTTCAAATCGATTCAAATGTTTCTACGGGAATTCAGACGGGGAATTGACAAACAAATATACGTGAAAAGGTTCAAGTTATCGAGGTTCAACTGTATTTGACTCCACTATGGCTTCCAAAGTATTGAGCAAAAAAAAACAGTCTTTACGGAAAACCACGCGTCAACGAATACAATAGTTACATATTCGACCAAGGTCCCCTTTTCATCCCAAAAAAACCGGAACTAGGTTGCAACGTTCATTTAAATACCGGACAAAGGCAGACAGGCACCCACCATCCCAGTCATTAGTCCAGATAATCGGAGTTCTACTCCGTTGGCACGATCCCACGAGGATCTCGTGTGGGATCCCGAGGAGCGCCCGACTCAGCAGAACAGAGGAGGGAAAAAAGGAAAACCCCAAAGGACTCCAACCCCCTCCTACTTTTCCTCCCCATCCCCCCAGAAGTGAAACGACTAGTGAGAAGCACTCGTCCGAGAAACGTGACCTGATCCTTCTCCTCGCCCTCGTCCCATTCCTCTTCCGCACGATCAACAAAAATAAATGCCTTCTGCCGTCTCCGGACAACATCGTATATGTGCGCGCGGGGGAGATCCCCGGAGGGAAACATAATGGGGCTTCTACCCGCACCAATTCATACGTCGCAGTCGGGAGGGAGAGAGAGAATGACGGACACGGAAAAGATGCGAGATCCCTCCTTCCCTTCCCACAGGGCCTCGAAGGATCCCCCACCCTCCTCCGCAAGGCGCACACAAGCATAAGCATAAGCAGCAGCAGCAGCGGTGGTGGAACACTTCCTCCAGAGAAAAACTCGGTCGTCTTCGTCGACGTCAGCAGCAACGACGACGACGACGAAGACGACCAAAGACGCTTCCCCGTCCTCCTCCCCCCAACTACGGCACAATATGCCAGCGCGTTCGCATCGAACGAACGTCATCAACTTCTTTCTCGACCACATGCGTTCCCCGATGCTGCTGCTGCTCCTTCGCTCTCAACACAACCCGAATGAAAGGAAGGAATCGCACAAACTTCCGTCAACATTTCCCCGTTCATACTTTTATTTCACGAACTTTGTTTAGGCCTCCCAGAAAAGAAAAAAAAATCCGGTCTTATATCGATTTTAAAAAGAGGTACACGATTTATTCTCCGAAATTGCTCATAGAGTACTATTTATGTAATAATACAGGTGAACTTTCAACTACTGTGCAACGAAATTCCAGGGACCAAGAAAAAGTTCTTGGCAGAATTTGTCACAGAAAACCCCTACAACATGGGTTCAAGCCCTCCGGTAAAAAAAAAAATCGTTCTACAGAGGAAATCGTTATAAGTAGATCGTCGTAGAGAGAATCCACCTGCAGTATATTATTTTTCCAACAAAAATTTGAAAGCTGATATTCCTCTTCGCGGTAATATTTTTCTGTACCATTAAAGCATAGTTTTAAACGAGATTTCCTCACTCAACATCTCTTTTCGTCGCAAGTTTTCGAAGAACACTTTTCTCGAAACGAAATCCCTTTAAATACTATATTTCTGTTTAATCGTGTAATTACAAAATATATTTGCCCAAAAAAAACGGAAACGATCTCATCAACCTTCCAACAATGCTTTGAAGCAGGAATTAATACTCATTCACAGGTACATTGATGCGCAGTATTAGATTACATGACGAATGATTCTTCAATACGCATCCGTTTTCAGTCAATTCTTAAACGGAAAAAGGAATCCAAGTGATTCTGCCCCCCCCCCCCCCTCCTTTGCATTTCTCCAGACAAAGTGCCCAAAAGACGTTCCTATTCTTCAAAATGCTCTTCTTCCTTTACTTTCTCCTTGAATACATACACAATACGAGTTTCCCTTCCTCGTATTCGACACTTGAGGTGAAGTCATAAAATTTCAACGCGAGGCTTTTTTGCTTACCGACAGCGTGAACACCAACTCCCGCAGGTTTTTTTTCTCTCACCAAGAAGCGGAATTTTCACGGCTTCAATTAAAAAATAAAATAAAAACTTTGAAGAGAGAACATTTCAACTGTTTTGTGCCATTCCGCCTACGCCCACTATGTTTCTGACGAGCAGAGAAACACACGGCGCCACATCACCATGGAAAATAACCACAAAAAAAAACGGTTCAGCATGATGGTTACGTAAACTGAATGAAAATCGAATTGGGTTTTGTAAAAAAAAAACAACAACGTATTCAGCTTCGGGCGTATTCGAAATGGGGGAAATGCACAAACATAGACCTCACGGTACTTAAAATTTCGTCCTAATGAAATTCTGACCATGAAGAAACTTTGATTTACAAGATGCCACCTGAGGGAGCACCTTTCCAAAAGTCGACTCGGTTCTCCGTAAAAATTTAACTTGACAAAAGTTATTTCGGGTAACCCTCACACGATCGAATCGGTCGATGGTGATTCGACCCAAGTCACGCCATTGATCGAAAGATTTTGGCATTCCCAAAGTTGAAACATGATTCCGAACACTGTTCCTTCGGTTTAAACTCCTCATTCCTTCTCGTCGTCGGCAAGATTTTCAACGGAGGGAAATGACATGACAGACATCCCAAGCTGTTCTTACACTTTGAATAAGGATGTTTTCCATTTTGATGCATTCCATGATATAATTCAACATTCTTCCGAAGAATAACTTTATCTATCCTAAGGTTCTGCGTATCAGCGAGACTACATTTTTTTTTTTTTACCAATGAAACTTACATTTTGTATGTGTTTCATCTTTCTTGGGAACTGAATGAAAATCGAATTAGGATTTGTAAAAAACATCTTTAGCTTCGAGCATCTTCGAATGGGGAAAACTGCAAAAACATAGACCTTCAAACCCAGAGGAAATTTAATTAACTTTCGTTCAAGTCGGTCAGGTACTTGCTCACAAATGCAAAGAGAGGAAGGTGCATCCATTGTACTGCATATCAATAAGTTAAAATAATACATAAATTAAGTAAAATACGAAATATAATTCTTATTTCACTCTAGACCACATTCGAAACAACCCTGGGACGCTTAAATAATATACAGCTAATGCTTCCAAGGCGTGAATAAGGTTTTCTTGGTCAATTGGAGACCTCTTGCAGAAACTTGAGTCTTGTTGGCAGGCTATCGAAGACAAAATTAATTGGCAGGAGCATAATCCAGTTATTGATAATTTCGGGGGATGGCGTTTAAACGGGAGTTTCCAATCCATTTCTCATTAGAACTTGTTGTTCAAATCAAGACTTGTTTTTTAAATCAATTTGGCTGGCGGCATCTTAACGGGGTTTGACTTCACGGTATTTTCGCACCTCACGGGGCCACCGTGGCGTATCTTTTTTTATTTTATTTTCTCCTGTCGAAACTTTGGCCAGGACGAAGCCATTCTGGTGAAATTACGTACTGGAAGCATCCGCCTGGTCTGCAACAACAGAGCAGAGTCCAGCAATATTTTTCAACCCTTCACACGGAACCGGAAAAGCGACAATTCCGGGATCGTTGCCCTCCCGTCGGTCGACTCGGAAACAAAAATCCGGGGCGTTGCATCAAGCTCGTCAGCAGTACCAAATAACGGTGGCGAGCGAGAGATTAATCGAAGCACCCAGCTGGGTGCCAGTGCGCATTCCGTCGCACGGGAACAGAACGAAATACGGCAAATAAAAATAACACCCATCCCCTACTCCCTCTCCCTTTTCTATCTTCTGGTGTTTCCTGGAAATCTTTCCCCCTTTTTTTTCCTCCCCTCCACCTCGTTGCACATTATTGCAGGGCAACGACAAAAAAAAAAGAGTACAAGAATGCGTTCACGCCACGCCCTATGGGAGCTGACCCGACGCCACCTCTTGGGTGTCGTTGTCGTTATTCGCAGAATTTTCTCAACATATCTCCCATCACCTCCCAAAAAAAATCCCACACACACAAATGATATAAATGAGCTTGAAACTACAAAGCGACCAAATTCATCAAATGACTGAAGCTCAAGCTTTTCAACACTCGTACAGACCCGGTCACTTCGAAACACAAGGTCGAGTTCGCGTCAATTGGATTGAAAAAAAAAAAAAGCTTTCATGCAGTCAGACAATTGTTATTTTAATTTTGCGACCAAAAGTTAAATCAAAGTACAGTATTGTACTTTTCTCATTTGCTCACACCAGTAAATTTGAAATTCAAATGAAGCATTCCAAATCTACTACATTGACGGACGAAATTCGAAACAGGATAGAAACCCGCAATTATCCGGACTTGGATCATCCATTCGTAAATTGTGATTCGACGGGAGGAAACAAGGCAACTTGCATAATTGAATTAGGACCGCGTCATTTCCCTTCGATCTACTTACATTTCGGGCGGAAATTCGTCCAAAAATAAACTTTCCCCAGCAACGCTTTCGATTCAAAATATTTCAATTGAATGACGAGATACATTTTCGACTTTCCGCAATACAGCAATCCACTATCTATATAAAGTATTTAAACTGGATAAAACGGAGTTCCACTGCACATGAACCTCTTTCAAGTCAGACCAGCAAAGAAATTCGACTTCGGGAAACGGATATATATTGTTGGCTGTATAGAAAAAAAAATAATTACAGGAAACTAAAATTGATCACATTTTGGGCCTCAAAACTGCAGAATAAATGAGTTGACAGGATGCTAAATTTGGAGGGAACTGTTATCTTCCCGATTGTTCCCTCCCTTTTTTGTTTTAAAAAGCATCGTCAAATTTTTATTGTCCTTAATCACCAGAATAATATCCCGAAGAGCTTTAGAAATTAAAGTCATGGAGGTTTGAGATTTACAATTTTCTTGTTAGACAGCTTCATTTTACCTTGTTCCTAAGGAAATTCAGTCTATTAAAAAAAAAAAACTTCGACTTATGGAGTTCGAGGCCCAACTGTACTTGCCGTAATTTCCTTATCCACTCAAAAATCACATGTACAGGTGGACTCTCTCTACAAAGAAATTCAAGGGAGCGGAAAAAAAATTCGCCGTAGAGAACCCTTATAAACATGGGAGGGAACCCCCCCAAAAGCATTATACTATTGAATCGTACAAGAGCGATTTCGCCTGCATTTCAATTTTGTAACGCCGAACAAAAAAGAAAAGAATTCGTTGCGTAGCAAAACATGACTGATGAAAGATTCACAGAGCAATTCGACTCCAACAAATTGAAGAAAAAAAAAACACGAAACAACCACTCCCCATGCATTCTGCATTCGTCCACAGCTGAGTCACGTAGGCCGGGAAAACAACCGGAGGTCAGCAGGGAAACGCGGTAGCAAACGACGATGCGAACGAAGTCGGATTGATCGCAATGTCCGCATACACACTCACCAGCGCGTACCAATGTCAACCGTTCCCCGAAAATCCTTCCTTTTCATTCCGCCGAAATTACACGCGCCTTTCTATATGCGAAGGGACGACGACGACGACGAGGAACGGAATCAATATTGCAGGGTCAATGCCTTTCATGCGCGGACAACCAGGAATAATTACGAATAACGCCTCGTTCGCAGTGGGGAATATCCCTGCATTTCAACCAAAAACCCCATTTCATCCCCGTTCCCGGCCACCTTTTCATCCTCAGGACAACTAATTTCTTTTCTTCTGGTTCGAACATTTCACGATGGAGAAAAACCCATGAGTTTAATGCATGGATTATTAATTAAAACTTTAAAGATTACCTGATTTGATTAATTAACTTTTGGATATACATTGGGTCGGATATTTTTTTTTTTTACTTTTAGTTAGTTTCGGCTGGTTATTTCATTTTGGGTTTGTTTCAGTTGAACGTTCATTTGTTTGTTTGCTTAGGTTGATGCTTTTTTTGGGTTTAATATAGGCTTGTGATTTTATTTTTGTTTATTACACGTCAGGTTAGGTTAGTTTAGTTCAGGTTCTTTTAGTTAATGTTATTTTATTCGAGATTCAGTTAATTTCTAGGTTGCTTCCTTTTTTGCGAATTTTCAGGGAAGCGATTTTGTAAAATAAAATAAAAAATTATCCAGAAAGCAATTTCAGAGGCTCCCGACAATCAAGAGTTGGACCCAAAATTTTGCAGGTGGGGTTGTTGCCCTTTGATCAAAATTGACGTCAGGAGTGTTTCTTCTATTTTTACTGCACCAAGAACGCCCTTTACTAAAGGAGGCCCGCTGCTCCATGAAACACTCGGCTATCGAAAATTGCAGGGATTTTTCGCTAAAAAACACTCGAACGGGAAGCGATGAAGATGTCGGGAAAAGGTCGGAAAACTCACCGATTCGAAGAAAACGAGGGCCTGTCCATTATCCCGGTTGATCACCGTACACCGCAGCTCCCCGTAATCAGCAAAAAGCTGCTTCAAGTGCTTCTCGGAAACGTTTTCTGCAATCAAGAACGAAGAAGAGATGGAGAAAAACCAATCAGTATCAAATATATACCATTAATGACTACAGTTCCGTCAATAACGGCGACTCAACAAGTAATTACAGTAAAGTAAGGTACAGTACAGTACAGTACCATACTTCGGTTATCTCTTAAGCTTATGGCTATAATGTACAGTGGGACCCCGACATACGGACGATTCAACTTAGGAACACTTGAAACTCAGAAAATCTGACCGGACATTCGGAAAATATATTTCTAAAATTTCTAGAAAAAGGGAAACGTTTCATTTTTCAAAACTTGGACATCCTTTAAAAAATTGACATTGAATTGATTATTCACAAAACTAGAAAATAAATTTCATTATGAGTACTGCACATTCACACACAATCAAAACAGACTAATTTAGTTTTTTTTTACTGTTTTTACAGTCCATCATCTGTGCACAGTATAGCAAGACTTGTACTTGTCCTCCTTTTGATGCCAGAAGATCAGCTTTTCCAAGTTTTTCTCATGCAGTGGTTTTCTGTACAGTATCTTGACGTTGAGACAAATTTTATTCAATTTTTCGGGAAACTCCTTCCTAATTTTTGATAACCTAAATATGTTCCCGTTGAAGTCTATAGGATAACATGATCCGAAATCCGGATACTACAGTACTCCGATATAGGCACAATGTCCGCGTACCAATCACGTCCGCATCTCGGGGCCCCACTCCACAGCTCCCCGAAAACTATGTGATAAACAAGCTACCTCAACGCTTGAATAAACTCAAGAGATGACGATTACTGTGACAAAGGTAAAAACAACAAGGCACTCGATAAATAAATAAAAAAGCCCACAATCTCAGGTCCCACCTAAAATAACCAGCAATCGTACTGTCTTCTGCGTATACTTTACTCCGATACAAACATCGGGAAACAATCAAGTCAAAATGGGAACCATGTACAGTATAGGCTACGAAGAGAATCCCAAGAAGAAGATTGAAAAACAAAGCAAAAAAACTTGAAGAACGGAAACTGACTTGAAATGCCCTTGACCCAGATGCAGTTCGTCGGCAACGTCTTTCCAAAGCCCAGTTTGACTCGACAAGCACCCAGTTGCTTGTTGTCCGCCGACCGGATCGCCTTAACGACGTTCGCAACGTCGGTGTATTGCACATAGGCGTACGCCGTCGAGCTCAGGTGCTTCTTCAGCTCGATATCCTGCAAGAAAAAAAAAAAAAACGGGAAAAAATTAATGATGAATCCACGAGAAGAGATTAACGAACGAGTTCTTTCCACAAACAACCCCGAATGTGCAACAACGAAAATTAACCCAAGAACATTGCCCATGGAATACCGAGGACACATCACTGATCAAAACTTAATTACACAAGATTTCTTCAATGAACACAGTCCGCGAATTTTCAAAAATTTCCAAAAAAATAGACCCGAAAAACCAGTTTACAAAAAAATATATATACTGCAAATGGATTCGGATAGAATAAATACTCAATCACAAATGGCACACACACACACACACACACACACACACACAAACACAACCCTTCGGGTAACGTAAAAATGATGACATTCCCATCCATTCCTGTACTCCATCTCAGTACCTGAACCCGCATGTTTTCGACCATCACCAGAACCACCCCCCATCAAAGTATAATCCTGACGATGCAAGAGTTTTTCGCAAGTACACACACAGTACTTTATACCCAGGATCAATTAGTTGAAGCCCGTCGATCGCCACCACGAAGATCCGTTTTTAAAAGGTTCCGCTCAACTCAAAGCACTCGTCATTGTCATCAATCTTGTCGACACTTCTGGCCTAAGTTGCGACCCAACATTCATGAAACCCTCACAATACTTTTTTTAATGTATTTGAAATCTTTCGTAACTCAAAATACTGACACACACATGTTCGAGGAACTAAATCTCCAGACGAGGGTGACATTCATTTCGACTGGCTTCTACAGAGGAACATTTGCTTAGATATGGTACCGGTATTTTCATCAGGCAGCAATAAACAAAAAAAAGTACTCGTCAACTTTACACTATGATCCATATTAATTTAGGATAACCGCAATTCAAGAATACAGAGCAAGACGAATTGTCCTTCAAAAATTCAAATGAACCCCTTCCATTCATTTGAATATTTCATGCAGGGAATTTTTTGTTTTATGGTACCGGTGTTTTTATCATACAGAAATGAAAAACCACTTCTAATTAACTTTGCTTCAAATGAACTGAAAGAAAAGTATTGAAAGAATGACAAAACCTTGCAAAAGTTTCCGGATAACCGCATTTCAAGAATACTCGGCTAGATGAATTCTGCTTCAATAATTCAAATGAACCCCTTGCATTCTCTTGAATATTTCATGCAGCGAAAAATAATTTTCTTGTGACGGTACCGGCATTTATATGATGCAGCAATGAATAAAAATGTCGCATTAACTTCGCACAATGCACCATACGATTGAAATTTGAAAGATGAGCATGAAAATAATTACCCCAACCTTGCAACAATTTTTTAGATAAACGCAATCCGAAGAACACTCAGAAAAAATAACTTGGGCTTCAACATTTCAAATTAACCCGTTTCGAACTTCTTCAAATATTTTATGCGGTGAAGACAGCGAGTTGTGTCACCAGTGAGTTATAACTGCAACCTGATCATTTCTCGAGATGCATCAAGAATGTCCCTTCTTTCGTTGTTTCAAGCTAGGTATATACTTCAACACTTTCAGGGACAGACGCGGAAACTACCAGAAGAATCCGACCACGAGACGCCACATTCATCTAAGGCGATAAATTAGACTTTCCTTCCGCCTCGAGACGAAGCCATCGATCAAAGTTCGACTCACTCACCGAAATTCTCTCCAAAAAAAGAAAAGAAAGAAATAAAGTAGTTTGACAACTATACGCACGTCGCTGCTGGGCGGTATGAAATGAGTTCTCTTTGAAAAGTTGGAAACGCAAACCCTGGGGTACCCACACACACACACACACACACGAAGGGTACGGAGAGGCAACCTTGACGCGCGAGCACTCATGCAAAAACCTCGTCAATCTTCCTGCCAATCACGCAAATGGAAGCTCGAGCCAGATTTCGCATTCACCATTTGTTCTCTCCCTCGCCTCCTGCATTAATCATACAGGCCCCTAAAAGCTTTCCAGCTCTAATGCAAAGAAAGCCCTCCGCTTAATAACATGATTGACTATCTCGCTCAGGTCTCAGGTGGGCACGGAGGTACGAGAACGTAAATCCGACGCCGATCGCATTCAGCGAATAATACTTCTCTCTTATCCACGATTCAGAAATAGGGTAACAAATGAAGAGAAAAAAAGGCCACTTTGACTGAGCATCACTCGAGTGCTAGAAAAGAAGAGAAAAGCTAATTTTTGCAGAAAAAAAAAAATAGATACCCTACCGATTGACTGTCGAGACGTGATTGCTGAAATTAATACTCTTCCATCAAAAGCATCTGCTCGGTTCTTGAGACATCTGCTTCCATTTGACCAACAGAATAAACGGTAATTCAAGAGGTGATTTCATTACCATGGTCCCCCATTAAATGAACAGACTCCTCTTGCAAAATATACGGTAATGATTTTCCACAACACTGTTCTAAACCGACCCAGATTTACAAGTGTTGGCACATCTTTCATCAATCTGACCCTGCACCGACGGTACAAGTAAACTTGGACAGTTGAAAGGTTAACTGGTGAACAGTGCAACAACTTATGTCCGCGTTGTGCATGATATAGCAATCCCAATTGATGTGAAAAAAAAACCATGATGTACAATGAATGGCATCATTATCCCGTTTCAGGACAAAAAAAATTAATATACAGGCCTTACAAATTTTTATCGAATTTCGAATAAAAAAACAACGCACTTGAACTCATCCTCAAGGTTTGCGTGTGATTCCAACTGGCAAATTTTGTTCAAATGTCCATATTGCAGAATTAAATACACCACAGAACAGAATACTACAGTAAATGAATTCACTGTAACCGATTACATTTACACTCAAAATTACTATCCCAGTTGATTCCTGCAGCAATCCTAAATCGCAATCCCTCACGCGCTAATTTAAAAATTAAATCCAAATGACCCATCATGCAAAATACAGATAATCCTTGACATGTTAAAAGGGAAAGGAATGCGAAATTCTGTACTGTACTTGAAACTTCAGAAACGACGAATTTCAAATTTCCTCCAGCACTCTGGCGCCGCCTCTCCATTTCCCCACAAGAACCAACGACCGCGATTTATCACGTTCCGAAAAGATTTCGAAAATAAATCTCGTTGATACCTTGGAGCACTCCAACTTACAGGCTAATACAGTACTGTACTGCATTCATGCATTAAAGCAGGTCATATTTCAAGGGAAAAGCGGGAAACACAACTACTGCACTATAATAATCACGGAAGTAGAAATTTTTATCCCTCCGCAGAGTCCGTTACGATCACTCGAATTTTCCATTCGGGTTCGGTTTACTACCGGAAACCCGCAGAGCGTCCTTCGGGATAACATAAGAACTAGAAAAAATTTCCACCACGATAGTCTGCAATGCGGAAACGGAAGTGAGATTCGCCCACGCAATTTCCCTCCAGCCTTTCCAAACGAGATGGAGTAGATGAATGTCGGGAGGAACAGATCCGCCGACGCTCCACGAGCGGCAAAAGAAGCCCGGAAGAAGACTGATGAAGGGAAGCCAACAACACACACACACACACACAGAGGCCCATCACGAAAGAACACCGAAATGAAAAATATATTTCCTCCACAACCGAGATTCTCACTGAAAATATTTCAGATTGCCTCGACCGACGCCCAAATCAGCGTCTGCCGGAGAATGTTTACGACAGTACCGCAAAATATAAATTCCGACAGGATACCGAGAGAAGGAGAACACGTGAAACTTGATGGAAACAAAAAAACTGAATTACTAATTAATTTTGAATCTTTTCTACGCGGTCTTCCCGAAGAGGAAAACATCGAGCAGAAGAAAAGTTAGGTTTCGTTCTCTTCCGTGATTAGAATTCTGAGCATCCCCCCCCCCCCCCCCCCCCC